TTACAAAATACTAGTCAACTAAAACACAGCCAAGACAAGTTACTTTGAACAGACCAAAGGTCAGTTTTGTGTTATTTTATATACGGTAACATGAGTGCACGTGAGCCGCGTCACTGTAACATCTGTAATTATAGCCAGACACGACTGAAAGGTCAATATAACAAAGATGTATAAATGTATAATGTTATGAGATTTATGTTATTTAGTCTAAACATTTATGTTTTCATGTTATAATTTGTGTTCATTCTAGAATGACAGAGGCATAACTTATATTTATTTGCTAATTTTTTATGGTGATTGCAAGATCGGTCAAATCTACCGAACTCGTACAGATTAATTACTGAAAATAACAGATAAAATATAAAGTTTTTCTTAAGAAATAATTGATAACTATCTGGACATTATAAAAATTTCGCATGTGAAATTTGAAAATTTTCTGATGCATAAAAGTATTTTTAATCTTAGAATGAAAATTCCTTTGCATGATGTGAAAAGAAAGAAAAGGCACGAGAGAAACATTGCTTTACAAACCTTAAGACTTAATAAAATAATTTGATATTTTGCATATGAAAGCTTGTAATGTTTGCTGATAATCTGCTAAATTTCATTAACATTTGCTTACTAATTTAAAAGTTATTGCATGAAAACTATAAAAAGCACAAAATGGTTACGAGGTCAGTCCCAGGGACTGAGCCCCTGCTGAAAGAGTTAAACATTTAAGGTAATTCATATCTATCACATTGTTAAAATATTATTCATCTATGTGAACATCTTCCAACATCACTATAATTATAATGAAATCTTCAATACCTTCATATCTAAATTATACAATTTATGAATCATCTATTCAGCATAAATTTTCATTCACAAATTTGAAGTTGAGGCACTTAGAATGTCAATCAGTCTAAAAAAATAAAAACTGTGATGTGCCTGCTTCAAAGTCACTTGAAATTTACAATTCCACAAGTAGTGGACAGTTACCCCCATGTTTAATATAATTTATTTTAATGGGAACAATGAATACACATGTTTTAAATAATACTTGAAACAAAGCAAATGCACCTATGATACATTTTAAACATTAAAAAACCCAAGAGCATCCAGTCAGCTCATAAACCACTAATGAAACCAGGCAGTTCCTCTGCAGCATGATAATTACTACACCAGAGGTTGAACTTCAGGTGACAAAGAAGACAGTCACTGCACCATCAAGAAGTGAAATATTTACACTAGAGCTTAATACAAATATTTACAACAAATGACT